AGCCGCCCTGCTCCTGCAGGCGCGTGAGCTCCGTTTCCGCCGCCTGCTGCCGCTCCTTCCGCTTCGCCAGCTCGCCCGACTTGAGCGTCGGCGGCTTGCCGTCGAAGACGAAGACGGGCTTGATCCCCGCCTCCATCATGCGGATCGTGCGGTAGAGCATGCCGGTGAGGTGCGAGGTGACCTCGCCCGCCTCGTTCGTGAGCTGGCCCTCGCCGCCCTGCTGGCGCACCGCGATCAGAAACTGGTAGATCTGCATGCTCGCGTCGATCGCGATCTTCCGCCTGAACGAGCGCGGGAACGAGGCGGCGCTCGGGGCTCGGGGCGCGGGCGGGCGGCCGGCGAAAACGGGCCCGCACCCGGCGAAGTACTCCATCTTGTGCTCCCGGACGCAGCGCGGCGCGTTGTCGTTGAGCAGCTTGGAGAGGCCGTGGATGCCCATGTGTGTGTGTGAGGATAACCAAGTCCAAGAGGCAGAAGCGGTGGCTGTTGGCGCGCTTGGCGCGAGCGGGACAAGAAATCGGAGAAATCGCGCCGACAACCGCTATCAGCCACCGCGGTTGCGGGGCTGATAGCAGGCCGGCTGCGGCTCCTGATGTACCTCCGCTTTTGGGTGGCGGTCGCGCGCTGCCGACGGCGCTCGCCGGCGCTACGGCGCTCGCGGCGCGCTCGTGGCGTTCAGGGCGGCTCGCACACGCACACGCACACGCACACACACACACACACACACACACACACACACACACACACACACACACACACACACACACACACACACACACACACACACACACACACACACACACACACACACATGCACAGACACACAGCCCCTTCCCCTCCCCCCTCAAGGGCGAGGACACGCACAGGCCGCACCTCTAGTGAGGCCCGCATAGTATGTGGGAGACTCGTGCCGCCGCCCCTGCCACCCCTGTGTCAGTGTGCCTGTGGTAGGAGAGACTGCCAGCGACAAGCTGGAGGCAGGTCGCTAGACTGAGATGAGACCGCCAGTGGATGTGGGAGTCCACCGCGCACCGCGCTGCGAGCCTGTCGTGTCCCTTGTCAGGAGCAGGAGAGCCCCACCTGTCCCCCTGATCGTTCTTCCAAAATCCTGCTCGTGCAGGTGGGGACCCTGTCCTCGTCCCATCCCTCGTTTGGCGTGTCTGTTTTCTTTCTTTCTTTCTTTGAATGATTTAAAAAAGGCTTGCTCATCGCAAACCCTGTCAGCAGAGTCCTCCTACGGGAATGTACGTAAGAGCCACATACACTGAGAGAGAGAGAGAGAGAGAGACTCGATCGCCGTGCAAAGCTCGCTTCCGACCGAGCTCTCACGCCGCGCGTAGCCGTAGGGCCCTTAGGGGCCTAGAGAACACAACCCCCTCTCCCTTTTCTCCCAGTAAGCTAAAAGTACGTACAACATACCTAAAACACTGAAAAAGAGGAAACAGGTTAGTGGCACGGCACCCGCGGCGCTCCTGTGCTCGTTGGTGTGCTCGCGACGTGCCCGCGCTGCGCGTCGGGAGAGAGAGAGAGATTTCACTCTCTTGCGCGTCGGTCGCGACCTACGCGCCGGCGCTCGGCGCACCCAAGTCCAATCTGGAGTTGATCGTTGCTTCCCTTTCGTTCGCGAGGCGGTGCGGACTGCCGGAGGCCTCGGTCTCCCCTCTGCCCGTGCGACTTTCGCTAACTCCCTCGAGCGTAGATCGTCTCTCTTCGGCGCGCTCGAGCACGTTTGGCACCAAGAGGCTTTGATTCTTACGACCCTCACCCGCCAAGGGGCCAAGGG